GCCTAGTTCACGCTACGCCGGAGAAATTTGAAAACGTAACAAGCACCGGTCATTTTGGATTTGTGTTTGAGGAAAACTCGGGCAGAGAAATCATATGCATAATTACCGTCACTTCATTGTTTTCGAAAAGCTCCGTTTTCAAAATGTTTTCCGTCCACATGAAAATCTAAAGCCGGCGTTTCAAATTTCGCCGATTTATAGAGCCTTTTTGAAAAGCTCTGTTTTCGAGTGTGGACGGTAGCGTTAACCGTAGAAATAAAGCTACGTTTTCAAATTTCTCCGGTGTAGGGAGTGGACGGGACCTAATTATCCATGTTATCGTAATGCATGACTGACAACTGTCATAACTCTGTCAAATTCAAATTTAACATCATAAATTGTAATTAACGATAACAGACATTTCTGTCGAAACATGCCCTCTAAACCTTTCAAAACTTTGCCCTTTTCTCAATGTAGAATGCAAATATGATGAACAAAGATATCGCAGCCAATTTGAATCAGAAATGTTTGATTCTTGGCAGTATGATTCTGCTGGAGGTGTTCCACAATATGAACCTAACATTTTTGTTACCATGGCACCATACTGGGTTGCAGACCTCCCCAATATTTAAGGATTTTCTGGCCACATTTTGCGTCCTTTATTGATATTTAACAATGGTGCCTCATCTTCATGATCCAGCAAGCATGTATGTTAGGTCGAGTTCATGACCTTGTGTAATGTTTCTCGAGCTGAAAATCACTACAATATTGAAATCAGGTTGGAGGGAACTGTAAGAGTGGGTTGCCACTGGGACGTAAATTTTTTTAGGTGTTGCATTTAGCCTGGTTTCTGCTGCAAATTGATCGAAATAGCTCTATTTATATACTTGATGTAATACTTGGTTGAGTGTATGACGTCAATAGTCCTTTCATTTGCATATTTTACACATTTTTCAAACTTAAATATCTTCGGAAGCAATGCAGACAAAAAGATAAACGGCATTTTAATCTCTCGTGGAGTTCTGTGATTAACTAAAAAATTCAAGGGGTTAAAAATTTGATCATAGTACCGCTTAAAATTAAGCAGTATTTCTCAGAGAGAATTTACCATGGTTTATTTAAATTGGGAATTTTGTGACATTATACGGACAGCCTTGCCACTGACAGCTTTCAATAAGGTTAATTTGCGCCCTAGTGTTGCGTAAAAAATTAATTATTATTTAATTTATATTCCAATCTGTTGTTTATATGATAACCTTATAAACACAAAGGTAGCACCTCTGCATTTGGCCAGGATTACGTACATGGTCCCTGTTTTTCCTAATGAGATGATTTGGGGGTTTACATCTCCAGCGTTGGTGCATGTAGGATATTGATGTATTGTTTATCCATTTCGCTGTAAGTTATCTTTAGTTATTGATGTGTCAATTAAAACATATCTTGGGCCCGGCTGGCAAATGCATCTATGCCTCATAACCTCTTAGCCCATTTGTGTAGTGTAGGCAAAATACATGCACATAATATAACTTACTTATAGCTTACTCGTTAATTTTTGGTACCATTTAATAATAGCAAAATTAATAATTAATGGCACCCAGTAACAGTTCCTGTAGTCCACAATCTCAATGGAAAAAAAGAACAAATTGAAACTGAATTATAAAATTATCATTGGAAGCGTACGCAGGTATTTATGTTCAGACGCAAAATATTATCTTAACCGTTTTTGCCAGATTGAGTTTGCTCATACATGTACTTTGACATGGTGCAACCTCTTTCAGCAGGAGACTATATAAAAGTGAAGATTGTTAACTGCATCTTCGGGAATCAAGTTAGAAAACAGATCTTTCAAACTTTTCACGTGTATTATTTTGGTATTTTTGCGAGATCTAGGAACTGAGTATATTGTAACGACAGCATTTCAATCATACCCCACAACAAAAGATGAGCAAACTTCATTTGTGTGGGAGTCCCTATGTTAACTTAGAAAGGACATAATGATAAATAACAATGTCTTGTCTTTCTGAAGAAGGTAGGGGAAAAAAATAAGAAACTACAAAATCGTCCGAAATTTACCTCACATATATGTTGGATTATTTTGATTAAGAACATCCCAAAAAATAGCTGAGGCGCTCCGCTTTTAGGCTTGGCTAAATCTATATATTAACGTGAATAGGTATGTAAGTGGTAGCTTTATCACTTGAACTGCAAGTAAATGTATGTTGAGTCAGCATTCGCAATTAGAGTGGCGTAGGTAACAATATTGAGTACCATTGCTTTGATGTTTGTTTGTAAACAATAAACAATAATGAAAACCAAAACAGATTTTTATCTACCCTTACATGCCGACGTGCATTATTGACCATATCGCAGTTGCGCAGGGAACTGGGGTGAGTTTCGAATTTTAACCAAACGATAAACGGACGCTACCACATGAAAGATCACGTTTGACCAGATTTGAGGCTTTTAGGGTGAATAGAGACCAACTATTGGGCCTTAAAACACGGTTCAAAATCGCCGACAAACGTCGCTAATTTTGAAACAGCGTCTCCCAATACCATATAAACTCTTAACTGTTTTTAATTTCTGTGATACTCTTAAAGATGAGCAAACATAGTGATTTTCGGTGTTCATATACTAGCGCAAAGGGCTCGATTGTTCAACAGTACTTAGACACATTACAACACCTTGAAAGCGTTGCGATAGAACAAAGATGGTTTTAATTGTACAGGAACACAAAAACATCGGGGAACAACAATTGCTGAATATATACATGAGTACGAGGTATTGGAATCCTCGTGATTTTGTTCTAGTATGGATTTTCTATAATAACCTTGTACCTTGGGAGTTTAATATTGTACACGATAAGATAAAGTGATAACGCGTTCTCTGGGAACATGATACCATGATGACTACTTTTTAGAGCCCAACCCTTTTTAACCTTGCGATGGCGTGAGAGGCTGGGAGGGGGCGTCAGCCCTCAATCTCTTGTTGGGGTTTTTCTTTACAGTGCTTTTCCCGCCCCGCCCAATTGCCCCGCCTCCATCTCCGTCTCGAGTGGGCTGGGACTGAGCATATCGCGTGACGGTGGAGACTCCGTCGACAAATTTGGTTTTGAAGAGCACGTTGGCATTGTTAAACATGCCGTCTTTTAGAGACACTACAATGAACTGGGAGTGTTTGAAATGGGCTCTGAGCATTTGGCCGATGTTTTGGGTGTGAGACAGATCCAGAGCGGCGTCTACTTCATCGAGGATATACAGTGGAGCTGGTTTAAACAGCAGCATAGAAAGGATGAGGGACAAAGCGACCAGAGACCTGACAAGAGGAAAAGAGTGAAAAAATGAATAATATAACCACACAGCGTGAAACTATAGCTTAATAGGTCACACACTACGGTTTTACCCACAGAAAAACATAATAACAGTACAACATGGAAGTACTGCTTAATAGCTTTCATTTGAATGGTCACAGACTAGTTTTCCATCCAGACTTAGAAGTTTGATCCACCTTGTACAGCATAATAAGCAGTACCACATAAAAGTACTGCTCGATATCTTTCATTTGAATGGTCACACACTAGGGTTTTATCCACAGACTTGAAAGGTAGAAAGACCTCGCACAGTATAACAAATAGTACCACATGAAATAAGTGCCCAATAGCTTTCATTTGAATGGTCACACACTAGGGTGAATGGTCACACACTAGGGTTTCATCTAAGGACCTAGAAATTACGACCACTGACGAACCTTTGACCACCACTAAGTTCGCTTAGACTCTCTTTCCATACATTGCCGAAAGCAACTTTCACTTCCAGGCCGTCGAGTTCCGTTTGTCCTTCAGGAGGCGCCAGCTTGGCTGTGGTCCCAGGGAGGAGAGTAGAAAAGATCGAACCAAAGTCCTACAGCAATGAAAACAGAAAAGAGACAAAGAAAAAGGATAACACTTAAAACTGAACACATGGACCTAAGCTCTTTCCAAGAACTAAATTGAACAAAGGCAAAAATGGTCTACCGAACAAAAACGATGATAGAGCACGGTTTTATTCGAACTGCATTGAACTTCACTGCTATCTTTTATTAACATTTTTGGATAAGATGAATAAAATTAGATGCGCTTAGCTAAAGGGTGGGTTTAGACAGCCCAGACAAAGAGTCTAGAGCTGCGGCAGCACACAAGTTAGTTTACAGGTATTGCACATATTTGTAACCATCCGTTAGAGCGGTTTTCAACTGAGTGTCATAAAAACAAAACCAAAGCAATCACTCTGGCCAGTCACAAAGAACACATACAATACAGGGAACGAATCAAAACTCGAAGTAATCACATGTAGCTGGCGTAAAGGGCGGGAAAATGTATGTGCGTGAGTAACGACTGTTTCTGGTTTTACTTCTGATTGGACGAAAAAATGGCGCGAGTTTTTAAGCCAATCGTGTGGCGTAGTTGATGCAAAACCAATTACTTTTCCAAATTCAAATGAAAGCCGCTCTATTTGGAGGTACCTTCCAAATTAAAAGTTTTCCTATAGTTTTAACTCCTTTTTCTTGTNTGAACTGGGAGTGTTTGAAATGGGCTCTGAGCATTTGGCCGATGTTTTGGGTGTGAGACAGATCCAGAGCAGCGTCTACTTCATCGAGGATATACAGAGGAGCTGGTTTAAACAGCAACATAGAAAGGATGAGGGACAAAGCGACCAGAGACCTGACAAGAAGAAAAGAGTGAAAAAATGAATAATATAACCACACAGCGTGAAACTATAGCTTAATAGGTCACACACTACGGTTTTACCCACAGAAATACGTAATAACAGTACAACATGGAAGTACTGCTCAATAGCTTTCATTTGAATGGTTACACAGTAGTTTTTCATCCAGACTTAAAAGTTTGAACCACCTTGTACAGCATAATAAACAGTACCACATAAAAGTACTACTCGAAATCTTTCATTTGAATGGTCTAACACTAGGGTTTCATCCACAGACTTGAAAGGTAGAAAGACCTCGCACAATATAACAAATACAATAGTACCACATGAAATAAGTGTTCAATAGCTTTCATTTAAATGGTCACACACTAGCGTGAATGGTCACACACTAGGGTTTCATCTAAGGACCTAGAAATTACGACCACTAACGAACCTTTGACCACCACTAAGTTCGCTTAGACTCTCTTTCCATACATTGCCAAAAGCAACTTTCACTTCCAGGCCGTCGAGTTCCGTTTGTCCTTCAGGAGGCGCCAGCTTGGCTATTGTCCCAGGGAGGAGAGTAGAAAAGATCGAACCAAAGTCCTGAAGCAATGAAAAGAATAGAAAAGGGACAAAGAAAAAGGATGTCACTTAAAACTGAACACATGGACCTAAGCTCTTTCCAAGAACTAAATTGAACAAAGGGGAAAATGGTCTACCGAACAAACACGATGATAGAGCACGGTTTTATTCGAACTGCATGGAACTTCACCGCTATCTTTTATTAATAGTTTTGGATAAGATGAATAAAATTAGATGCGCTTAGCTAAAGAGTGAGTTTAAACAGCCCAGACAAAGAGTCTAGAGCTGCGGCAGCACACAAGTTAGTTTACTGGTAATACACATATTTGTAACCATCCGTTAGAGCGGTTTTCAACTGAGTGTCATTAAACCAAAACCAAAGCAATCACTCTAGCCAATCACAAAGAACACATACAATACAGTGAACCAATCAAAACTCGAAGTAATCACATGTAACTGGCATAAAGCGCGGGAAAATGTATGTACGTGAGTCACGATTGGTTCTGGTTTTACTTCTGATTGGACGAAAAAATGGCGCGAGTTTTTAAGTCAATCGTGTGGCGTAGTTGAGGCAAAACCAATTACTTCTCCACACTCAAATGAAAACCGCTCTATTTGGAGGTACCTTCCAAATTAAAAGTTTTCCTATAGTTTTAACTCCTTTTTCTTGTACCAGAATCACCTCAATAAAATAGCGTGGTGTGACTATTTCAATTGTTGCAATGAAGAGTAAAGAACATGCATTGTACTGAATTTAGTGAGTTGAAACAGGCCACTTACCTTGTTAACTTTCTTCCAAGCGTTCCTCAATGCTTCATTTTTCTTTTCGTCAAGTTCTTTGATGACCGATGCAATCTTATCTTTGTCATTCAGGACAATTCGTTTCTTTTTCATTNGCTTCATTTTTCTTTTCGTCAAGTTCTTTGATGACCGATGCAATCTTATCTTTGTCATTCAGGACAATTCTTTTCTTTTTCATTAAATCATTGTACTGTATTAAATTAAACAAGTAAATAAATAAATAAAAATGAAAGTGAAGTTTGTTTCAGGATGTTTTCTTCAGTATGGAAGCGTTGTAATGATTTAATAGCCATGATAATGATGACCTGTACGACAAATGAGGGCAAATTAAATATGTCCTTAAACATAAACATAACTCAAAACAAAAGATCGTGTTTGACCATGGTCAAACACGGTCTTTCGTGTTTGATATATCTTCTCAATCGAAACTAAAACTAAGGAGAAAACGACGAAATAAAATCGTAAAAATCTGCGCTAATCTAGATCAGATATCCAAACACCGACATGGTCATGATTTTCTTTGCTTAAACTTGAGTATGAGTTTTAATGAGTTTGAGAGGTATGCTTCATTATCAAACACCCCAAACGATAAAAATAACTCGTCATTGTTTCTTCACCTTCTCTTCAGCTTTTCCCAGCATGTTCATAGCTCTCATGTTCACGTTCTTGCCAAGTTTCTCCTTCGTTTCTTGCAGCTTGCTGAGGCGTCTGGCGACCTCTTTCATGTCATTAGCAGCAAAATCGTATNGCTTCATTTTTCTTTTCGTCAAGTTCTTTGATGACCGATGCAATCTTATCTTTGTCATTCAGGACAATTCGTTTCTTTTTCATTAAATCATTGTACTGTATTAAAATAAACAAGTAAATCAATAAATCAATAAAAATAAAACTGAAGTTTGTTTCGGGATGTTTTCGTCAGTATGGAAGCGTTGTAATGATTTAATAGCCATAACGATGACGACCTGTGCGAGAAATGAGGGCTAATTAAATGTGTCCTTAAACATAAACATAACTCAAAACGAAAGATCATGTTTGACCATGGTCAAACACGGTCTTTCGTGTTTGATATATCTTCTCAATCGAACGATCACCAATAACTTGTCATTGTTACTTCACCTTCTCCTCGGCTTTTCCCAGCATGTTCATAGCTCTCATGTTCACGTTCTTGCCAAGTTTCTCCTTCGTTTCTTGCAGCTTGCTGAGCCGTCTGGCGACCTCTTTCATGTCATTAGCAGCAAAATCGTATGCCGTGTTAGGCTGACCAAAAAACTGCTTCTCGTTGGAAATCCAGTCGTACTTTTCTAGCATTTGTTCGACCTACATGTAACGAAGGAATACAGAATCAGTGAATTAAAAGCTGGACCAAGCGTCATGGCAAAATATGTTCCCAAATCAGTCTTAATGTACAACAAAACGAAAACTCATATAAGTTTAACTGAATTGTCCATAATATTCGCTTTGATTTTAAAAATAATTTCTATTTACAAGGCTAAATAAGTTAAAAGTAAAAAACCGAACGTTTTCGACGCTAGGTCTTCTGTCTTTTAGGTTATTTTCACTTACCCTAAAGAAAACGTTCGGTTTTTTTAGTTAACTTTTTTAGCCTTGTAAATAGACTGAATTATTTTTAACTGAATTATTATCAACATAGAAACTGCAAGATTTGGAAAAACAACCTTCATACAACGCAGGTAAGCTCCTAGTCGTTTCGTTACAAGTGTTTGACAAGCAGTATTACAACACATTGTTATTTTGCCGCTACGTCAAACTTCGGTCAAACTGAAGAGAGACTTATTAAAAATGATAGTTTGCCGAGATAGAAAAGTATCAAAGAAGCAGTAATAAAGCAAAATGATACAAGGATGGTTAAGACTGAAGAAGATTGACGCGGATTAAGAACGGCAAACTTGGAAATTCACACTGAAATCACTGGGAGCTGCCGTCACTACGATCAAGCTTAGCTCAACGCAATCCAAATTTATCTTGTTCTATTTTATCCATCAGTTCTGCTTTTTGGGTTTGTAGTATTTTAGTATTGTTTCTCTAAAATTTTGAAACCTTTATGTAGAGATTTCATTCCTTTCACTGCCAGTTTATAAGCAGAGGACTCCGCGAAAATTTGCGATAGAAAGAAATCATACCTTGGTAGCAGCCTCTTTACTGTCTCGTTGAAACTTGCTCACTTTGTGCTCCATTTCCTTCAACTCCAGCTGAATATCCTGACCTTGTTTCTGTAAGTCTCTTTGCTCGCCGACTTTTTCGCTGATGGCCTGTAACAGTTACAGTACAATAATTGAGTCGTGGCTTTGTCATCTTGTGATCTGACTCGGAGCTCACAGTTTTTTGGCACTACCAGGAGGTTGCCACAAGAATCGAAAAAAGAATGCTACCTTGGAAAACTTCTTCAGTCAGTCAAAACTCACTAACTCCCCAAGGAAACAACTTGAACTTTCTACTCACACGAGAACAGGTTGAAATTTGTTGTACCAGCCGGCGTGAAGCAAATAATTTTTCCGATTTTTTTTTCTTTGTTTGAGTTGGGAGATATAATAAAACACTCAATGACCGGCCCAACGGGACACAGTTAGTTTTGTTTCCCAACAAAACAAAACTCACTGTTTCCCTTGTGGTCAGTCATTAATTATTTGATTAGGTGTTTATTATTAAGATGTAAGGACCATACATACCTCGTTGCATGCCTTCAGAGCTTCTTTCTGTTTATTCAATTCGTCAGCTGCCTCATGGACCGCTTTCTAGAGTGGAAAGAGGATAAAACGTATCGTTAACAAAGAGTACATTTCTAAAAGCTGTTGCAGAACTGAACCACTATCAAAACCTAAGTATTCACGTCTAGCCAATCAAAAAAAACGTAAACATCATAATGAGCCAATAAGAACTTGAAGCAAACCGATGCAACCAACGCAAGCGCGGGATATCGTGCAACTCCTGCCAAGCGCGGGAAAGCGCAAGGGCGCCAAGTTGCAGTTGCTCCTGATTGGCTGATGAAACAGCATGTAAGCTCTGATTGGTTGAGAAAACGCACACCACACCGGCACCCACAATACTTTTAAAATTACTCTAACTACTAAGAACAGTACACCAATAAAGGTACGAGTGATACAACAAAATAATTATTTTTTAAATCATAAAGCAGTACCTTGGTTTCCTTAGCCATCTCTGTGAATTTTTCCACTTGCTCTTCCGCCTTAGTGATTGCGTCATCCATTGCTTTCAACTGAGACAAAAATAAACGCAAAACTCTAAATAATACTCAATCATAACTAAAGCAGTAGTTCTTTTCAAAATTTCCGACGAGCATCTCCGTCCTTTTGAGATCGGAGTTCCGCCGGACTAGTTTTCTTACTTGTTGGTCTACATTAGAGACTTCATTCTTCAGTTCTTCCATTTCTAACTTCATCTCCTCCACTTCCTGTTAACACCAGAAAACAAAACAAAAAAAATTAAGTGCAGTCGAGCCTCTCGTAAGTGACCACCCAAAATGCAAGTCGCTACCCAGGAATGCGATAATATTACAACACTTTATTTTCTAATTTCCGCTCTATTGTTTGTCAAGTGGTCGCTTACGGGGGGTTAAAAACAAAAGCCGGAAAATTTCAAACTTTTAGTTCTAAAAGTGGTCCCGGTCACTAACGAGAGATGGTCGCTCACAAGACTTTCCAACTATAGTGATTTGACTAAAGGCTGGTTTCCACTAGCGACGGAGTCGGAGGCGTAGGCGGGCTCGGTGTCGAAAACGTACGAGCGCTTACGACTTATGCAAATCGGTGTCCTAAGCGGAGTCATAAGCTTAACGGAAATCGGAGTCGGAAGAATTAGAACGTTCCAATTTTCTTCCGATTCCACTAACGACTCCGTTACTTATGATCCAATGAAAACTAGTTTGTCGGAGTCGGAAACAGAAGCGGAAGAACCAACCAATCACAATGCTAGTTCTCAGGAATCGTGATTGGCTTATTCTTCGCCTTCTACTCCCGACTCCGACAAGCTAGCTTTCACAAGATGATAAGTGACAGAGTCATAAGCGGAATCGGTATTCTTCTTCGGAATCTCGGTCGGTTTGACTTTCACTAGATTGTATCACTCTGAGTCGTCTCTCTCCGTAACCTGTGTCACGGCCGCCCTCTCCGAAAAAAGAAAATCGGAGAGAGCCGCGTCTCTCCGATTTTTCTTTGAGGGGGCGGTTGTGACACAGTCTACGCTCTCCGTCGCTAGTGTAACCCAGCGTTTCGCATTAAACCTAGCTTCCCTAACCATCTCCACAGTAATGAAAATCTCTGTTATAAATGCAAAGCTGAATACCTGTTGTTTCGCTTTCATGTTTTTTGTTGACTCTTCAGCTTTCTTCTTACTTTTCTTGACTTCTTCCTCGGCTGTCTTCAGCTCCTTCTCACGATGAGATTTTGCTTCCTGCAATTAATCAAGAAAGTAGGCTTTTTAGAGTGTTCTCTGGAGTTTTTCTCAGTTTTTTTCTTTGGCGTATTTTTTTTTTTCTGAGGCACTATCCAGAGGGTCTGGTACGGTTCCCAAACAGAAAAGTAGCGAATCACGAATCACGATATCAAACTTTCATATTCCCGAATCACCAAAATAAGCAAGTAAGATACTCTTTTTAATAACCTGCTCTTACGCTAGAAAGAGTGTTTGAAGAAAGCAAAATCACGAAAGACTTAAGGCTCCATATTGCAAATCGCATACCTAAATCTTATTAAATCTTCCGGAGTACTTGCGTCTCAAAATCACGCAGAACAGTGACTTTTCAGGTCACGGATCACAAAGAATAACTTCTTAACTTTACGTTTCACGGAAAGATGATAAAAACACAAAAATACCCCTGTACGACCTCTATCCACGATTAACAAAAATATCATTGCATCGGTGACCTTGTTTAACTCAAATTTGTGCATGAGGAGTTTTAACAGAAAAAGAATGTTAACACTTTTGTAAGAAATATTATTCCATTTGTGACTTTGCTTAACGTAAAGTTTACGCATTCTTTGAATATTGACCCAAATAAACGTGATCAAACCTTCATTTTGTTTTCAACATCTTTGCATTTCTCGGTTGCAGCTGCTATAGTGTCTTTGGCCTTAGAAATAAATTCTTGTTGTTCGTCTAAAGAGAAAAAATAACATGCAGAGAGTACATCAGCAAGGCCCTGTCCACACTACGCCGGAGGAATTTGAAAACGCCGCTTTATTTCTACGGTTAGGCCTACCGTCCACACTAATCCGACACGAAAACGGAGATTTTCGAAAACGCCCTTCAAACCGGAGAAATTTGAAAACGCCGGCTTTGCGTTTTAGTGCGGCCATAGAGCATTTCGAAAACAGAGCTGTTTGAAAACGATTACATCACGATAATCACGTGATTTCCCTGCCCGAGTTTTCCTCAAACACAAATCCAAAATGACCGGTGGTTGTTGCGTTTTCAAATTTCTCCGGCGTAGTGAGGACGCGGCCTCAGTTGCAGTAATTAACCAAAGTACCCCAATTTTTCGAACTTCCTACACGTAGAGGAACGAAAATGGGCCTTTTTGTCAGGAGAGGAACAATTTACATGTACTTCGAGTAATCAGGAAGTTTGAAAGATAGGGAATCCTCTGTATTTCAAATGCATTAGCAATAACAACTGTACAGTGTAATTTCAAATGAAGACTACAGCACTGTGCAAAAGTAATGCAAGCGAATTTCGACGAAATTCCTGGCTTTTCGTGGCAATTTCGTATGAAACGATATTTCACTGGTTTTTCGCCGCAATTTCGTGATGCCTATTCGCGCGAATTTTCAAACGATAATTCTCTCTTCCCGAAAATTCGCTACGAATTTTCAAGCGATAATTCGCTCTTCCCAAAACTGTGCAGATAACTTACCAACTGTTTTCTGCAAAGCTTCAACTTCTTCTAGCTGATGATGGTGAGTGCTTTGCTTCAGACGGGCCTGGACAAGCTCTGCTTCATGAACTTTAAGATCATACTGCTGTTTTATTTGACGGAATCTGGAGACGAAAAAATATCCAATATTTTTTTCAACAGTCACCAGACAATTTCTTCCAACAGCAAAGTTTACCATTATACCATGCATACAAATAACTTGTCTTAGTTTACACTGACTGTACAGACAATGTACGTACTTCTCTGCCACTTTCTTACAAGCATCCAGCTCCTTGATAACGCTTTGTAACTCTATGCTCTTTTCTTCCAGTGTGGCTTGTGCTTCGTTTAATTCTTGTAGTTTGACCAGTATCGAAGAATGGGATGACCGAGCACCTAATGTCAAAAGACAAACAAACGGGTTGAGTCAAACTTGCCATGTCTTGTTGTTGTTGTATGAAATACCCCTGCCAACGGGAAACATTTCCAGGCAATTGCAAGCAAATGAAAGTTTAAACTTTTACAAAATTATCTGACTTCATACTCAATTAGGTTTGGTTTTCAATCAGCCACGTTTACTTCGTTTGTTCACCTTTGAGTTTGCTGAACTACATGGAAGCAAATCGTGTGTACAAAAAATACAAAACAAAAGAAGCTGGTTCTGTCTTTGTGTACCAGTACACAAGAACCACACAGTACACTACAGCTGAACAGACTCCCTTACTGCATTACAATGGTGATGCCCTCAGTTTACCAGTAGACAATTATTTTAGAACCAAACATGAGTGTGATAAGTGAATTTCATACAGATGGCGAATTTTGCTCAAAACATTTTGAACAACGTCAAATCTCTTTTTTGACATTTTAACACTAATATTGTGAAGTCAGCAATTACCTTTGACCTCTATTTCTAAAACGACAGGTAGTTTACGTCAAAATGCTTATTATTTTATTTTCTTTATATTCTCTGTGTTATCACATACCTCCTGTAGCTGTTCCCTGAGGATCAAACAAGTCTCCACCTAACGTTACTGTCCTAGCCTGCACTTTAGGGTCATACGTGACCTGCAATAAAGTCACATTAATATTATAGAGTTGAAACACGTACAGCTATCTATTTTAATTTTTACTTTTTGAATTGTCAGGTTTGTTTCCTTTCTTTTAATTCTCTTGAAGTGTTTTTGTCCCTTCACCAAAAGGTTCCTTTTTCTTAACTTTTTGGCATTGTAATTTTGTTTTTGTTTTTGTTTTTGTTTTGTTTTGTTTTCTTTTGTTTTGTTTTTCCACAAAAAAGGTTTTCTTTTCTTTACCTTTTTGGCATTGTCCATTNTTTTGTACCAGGTGATTGTTCTTGCCAATTGAGTCCAATAAAATTGAGACAAGTTGTAAAAACATAGCCTCCACGGTAGTGTAATAGTACCCTATCTCTTTCTGTGCTCTTTTGCTACCAGCAAGAAAATACACTTCCCATCAAGGAAGGTTGTTCACTTACTCATGATTTGGTCTGCAAGAGTTTTGTCCTCGCCACCTTCATTACTGGATAATCCAGCCGACACAGCATGAAAATGATCCTGTGCCACTTTAACTGCTTCACTGTCTGCTTGACTTTTCTCCTCTAACTTGACGAGAAGATCACTCAACTTCTTTAGTTCTTTCTCTTTGTTTTGAAGTTGAGATTGATCCTTTAGCAATATTAAAAAATATTCATTATCAACAGTTTCCAGGTTTTACTTTTATGGAGATCAATTATTTTTGGTAGTTGAGTTTTATGTAAGTTCTTTAAGGGAAAAATATTTTGGTTGTTACATGTAGAAATTAATCCATTTAAAAGAGGTTGGAAAGTGTTCCATTAGGGGTAGCCGCCATTGAACCAAATCAACCAAAACTAGTTACAGTTTAAATGGTTGGCTCATCCCCAACAGAGTGGAACTGTTGTAACCGACAGCAACAAGAAATGTCACTGCTTGATTGAAATGCTACAGCACTTTGTTGAGTTAATAATATTGTTACTCACATCATCTAGGCTTTTCAGAAGAGTTTTCTTCTTTTTCTTCTCAGCTGCGAGGGATTCTTTCACATGTTTCAAATCAGAATTGGCTTTGACATCAACCTAGCAAGGAAATCAAAATATAATGCACTTTGTGTAAGCTGAAACAAAAGGATTCATTTTGAGCAGTGCTGCAGACCAGGCCATAGACATCAACATGCAAAGAAAGTCATGTCTGGTAGCCTGAAAACAGAGGATTTGCAGGTGTGCTAGTCTATTCCGTCCTACACTTGCCCAACCCACATGAAGTTTCCATGGAAAATTTGTTGAGCAAATTTAAATTACAGATTGAAGACTGTTAGNATATGCCTGAAAGGCAAGTGAAAATTTTTTTGGGGAGGGTTTTTTGAGGAAATTTAAATTACAGATTGAAGTACTGTAACAGAGAGTATATTTTTTGGGGGGGGAGGGGGGGGTGGCGGGGGCTGGGGGCACAGCTGGAGGGGCTAGGGAAAGTGAAATTCGGGCTAGTAGAAGGGATAACCCAAAAATTGGTTCTTTGCTCCCTGAAGTAACAATTTTCATACATGTATGATCTGCACACCTAGATACTCATTGCAGGAAGATGTTAACAAAAACAAACATGCTTATAATGTACTTCTGGGCAGCTGTTTTACTAATTTGTCAAGTTGTGATAGCTACAGGTACATGTACATGCGTGATTGAACATTTTTACCTTTGAAACCTCATCAAATTTCTTTTCTAGTTCTTTCATGGTTGATCCTGATTCCTGTTGAAGGAATAAAGAAAAAGAACATTAAATTGACACGTTCTCTGGTTGGTAACAAGGGAAGCAGAAAAAAAGAAAGAGGGGAGCAAAGGGGGAAAGAGGGAAGAAACAAGTGAAGGAGACGGGGAGAGAGGGATGGTTTCAGGAGAGAAACAAAATACGTTTCTTGCTTGGGGGGTATCATTTTTAGGAATATTGGTACATCATTTACAAGTAGTAGGATATTGTCAAAAATAACTTTATGGTAAAATGTAGTTCAAGGTGCAGGGTAAGCTTTGCAATTAGTCAGTCAGTCAATATGCCAATTTTGAGAGTCTCTTTATATCATACAGCTGTAGGGAGTTTTGCACTGAAGAACTTACAGCAGTCCTTTTCTTCTCTAATTCAGAAATGACTGCACTGATTTCTGTAACCTTCCCTTCAATCTGTCGAAATAAACAAAAAAAAGTGTTAATCAAATACATGTGAAGTAACATTGCTATTTTTACTGTCTTTTTTGTTTGAAAGAGTTGAGTGATGTTTCCTAGTGAGATCTTTGATCAGAAAGATCCATGGGAATCCTTGATACTGCAGCCACTGTTGACCTTTTACCATCTCCCAAGGGTCCTAAACCATAAGCATTTTAACAGTTCATTGAATAATGGTACTTAAAGATCCCAGGAGGTTTTTAACCACAGTTAGTCTCACAAAGTTTCAAAACTACAAACCACAATGACCAATCATAACAATTAACCATTACATTAAGAGAGGGTGAAATACATGTACATAAGGCATGTTAGAGACATCCAGACTGTTTTGAGTCAATTGTACTCTTGCTCTTCACACCTGTAACACAATTGTTAGCTTTTGAGTGATTTGCTCCAACTATAGTCCTGTTCACCCATAACATGAAGGGTTCATCAATCATACTTGGCTGTGGCAGGTGTTCTGGGTTATGGTCCTTGACAACCTTATTCAAACTGTAAAGCATAACATTACCTCCTCTAATTTGTCACGAAGTTTTACATTCTCCAGTTTAATATTTTCCAGTTCAACTCCAGACTTTTTCTGCACATCCTAAAACAACACATCAGAACTTCTGTTAACAAACACAAATACTATGATTAATTGAAATGAGTCTGATGATAGTCTTGAGCTTAACAACACAGCATGCTCCAGATTACCTCAGCCATCACAAACTGGTGAGCTATATAAAGCCTTGAAAGGTGCTCCACTTCTCTCATGACTTTTTGGTATTCAAGATAAGAAGCTCTTTCCTGAACAAAAAGAAAGAAAAATATACACTGTAATGTAAATCCATGATTCTGATTATTCTAAAATTATTTTCTGGGTACACAGTGCAGAAATTAAACTTTTGTAAATTCATTGTGTCAAGTTGAAGATACATGTACTACTAAAAGTATTTTTTCCTTCCATTGTAGTGGATCTGAATCATGTTAGAAAACTTCAATGATGGTCTTACCTCCTTCAGTTTAGTAAGAGTTGGAGTTATCTCTTCTGTAAGAATCTGAAATAATCAGAAAAACCAGAAATACAAGACTGTACAACATATAAGACTTCAAGAACTTTTAAGTGACATTCCACATAACCTTTCTCTGATACATGAACATATATGTTCAGATTTAAGATCATGCATATTAAAGACATCTGCCGACAAATGTCGATGGATACCCTTGATTGATCCTCGATCGATACTTGATTGACACTCCATCGACACCTTGTTTGACACTAGATCTACAATCAATTGATGTCACTGTCAACAGTCACTTCAGAGTCAACTTATTTTCAGTCGATGCATATGAGTACGCCGACACGGTCAACTGACTGTTGATCGACTGACTGTTGATCGAATGTCAATCAAGATGTCAATCAAATGTTGATCACATTTCAAAAAAAGTATCGATCAGGATGTTGATCAAGATGTTGATCGAGGGTAGATCGTAGGTGTTGATTGACACTCAACCACAGATGCAGATACCTGTAAGTAATAAGAATCAGATCCAGTCATTTATTTTTCTCAACTTACAGTTTCAATCTCTTGCAGCTTGGTGTCCTTTTTCTCAATGGTGCGCTGTGCAGACTGCTTTTTACTCTCATACATTCTGGTTCCGGCTGCTTCCTCGATCATTGACAAAATCTATATAAGTTTAAATGGCATCATGTCATTCCTAGTTAAGTAAAGCAGGGCCAAACAGATTATTGGCCACATTAAAGAGCTTCAACATGTTACGTAATCAACATCGCCCTTTCAAGAAGTTTTCCAGGGTACAAATGATTCACAGGGCCGTCAATAAGGGGCGTAACTCGTAACACCTGTTACGGCTGAGTATGTTTGATGGACCCTTGGTGTTACGGGGAACTGGCCTGTACATGTACTTGATACAATTCACCCACAAAGTAGCAAGTTTGCTATGGGTATGAAGATCAAGGTCACAGGTGAACTTAATGACAGCCCTGGTACAAAATTTCCACAAATTCCAGGAGGAGTATGACCCTCGAAACATAATGTATAGGCTACACTAGTCACTACCGATGGGTTAACTTACAGAACTTGTGGCACAGTGAACTTACTTCTGGTGGTTTCATGTTCAGCACTTTGGTGATTCTGCCCTGAAATTGTAAAACAAAAAGTCCAGCTGAACAACTGTGTGTTTCTTTTGAGTCATACAAATGTAGAAACATGAGTATAAGTTTGAGGGAGCAAGAAATACTGTGGGAGCATGACTGTGCCAGGAGTGAGTATTTCCACAGCTTTTTTGAGTTCTCCAAAATTTTCACCATTGTTTCTATCTCAGAGAATAAGTATTATATTTCATTTAGAAACACATTGAAAAAAAAGGAACGAAAAATCACTGCTTTCATTTTGCGCATCAAACTGTAAATTCTCAAGATTTGCTTGCACGATCATTGCATCAGCTTCTTCTGATGGTGTTTCTATACATGTACTTTTAGCACACACTTTCTTACATGTACAGTATGTGGTGTTTTGTAAACAGGGATGGAAAGAATTAATTTTTTCTTCATCAGCAGGACAAAATGTAAACAACTTTTATTTTATACATGAGGCTAAAATTTGTTTTTGCTTAAAAATTTCTGTCGCCCAAAAAAAAATTAAGAATAAGACAAATACATATATAACGTTGCTTGAAATATGAAATCAAGTGATACATATAGCTTTCCCTTTATAAAAGTGACCAGAAAATCTTTTACTTACCTGCATAATAAGAAAGTGAGGATTATTAACATTAAGCTGAACTGATCGAAACAAGTCTTGTACTCTGGTGTTGTTAGCATTGCATCCATTGATCAGATACTTGTTTCGTCCTCCAATCACAACCTAGAATTTAGACATACACTTTTGTTAGACCCACACGATCTTTAATTTTTTTGTTTTTTTTTTTATTTCATTAATTTTTATTGATTGAGGTTGTTAACAAAAATTATGATAGAAATCGTTAATCTTTAATCATTAATCTTTTTTTATACACAGTGAAAATTCACCAGGATTCAAAAACAATTGGTTGACAAGCCCGGTACATGTGACTGACTACATGTAGCATGCAAATGAAGTCTGATCTACATGTAATCCAGTACTGGTTGGGATAATGGATTTCCCTTAAGGCAATCTTGCTGGCTTTATCCTAAGTTGCCTAGGCAGCAAGAAAATATTGATTGATTGACTGACTGGCATACAGATTGACTAACTGTCACTGACTGACTGACTGACTGACTGACTGACTGACCCAACAACTGACTGACTGATTACCGATTGGGTATCAGTCTTGACGGAAAGAATTTGTGTCAGTACAAATCCACCAGCTGTTTATATTTTGTAGTACATCATTGCATGGCTATATATTTTCCCATCTACAACGTATATGCAATTACAGTATTCTGCATGGTAGTTGACTTACTCTCAGATGTTCAGGGAACAAATGAAACAGTAGAAATTGCATTCACTTTGCTAAAACATGTAGGTAAATGTAAAACTTTAAAAGCAAACATTTTGCTGTTCCCATATTTTAACCTGCGTGTGTCCTTACCTGTCTAGAAACTGTGATTTCATCAAAACTTTCATATCCTAAAGGACTTTGCTTCTTGTCTGTGTTATCAAATGTAATTGTCACCGTGGCTTTTGTAACACCTGCCTGTCCGCCTTTATATACAAGTTCTTGTAAACTACTTGCTCGAACCTATACAGTATGTACAAAGTAGATAATGTCAACTTTTGTGGGGATAAATTTATTGAAAGGTTCAAAAGAATTTCATGATCTACAGGAATGGAAAATAAATCTCAATCTTTATACCTCTTTATTCTACTGCAAAGTTATATTATACAATGTACAGGTTCTTGTATCAGAGACATTCCCTGGGTGTGAATCAGAGTTTGCCATGGGGGATACATGTACAAACACTGCATGTAGTTTTAGGGTGTTCATGATTATTAATACAAATGTAATACTGCACTGTCAAATATGCATGATCAGCTTCGAAAGAGGTTTTGAATAGACATGTAAACAGAGGGGGCTTATATCTGGAGGAGGGGGGGTTTATACAGAAAAATATTTTGAAATGAGCTACAGCAGTGTTTATCAAAAATACATGTAAGTTTTTTATATACTGGTTTTTAACTAAGCTTTAAAACATACATGTAATAAATCGAGTTCACTTTATTTTAAACATGACAGGTCAGTTTATGGTATTTGCCTACTTTACAGTCACATGTGAATAGCAGGACACACAGCCAGTCTTAGTGCTGACTGACAAGTAGAATTATAACTGCATGTTATTGACTGCCATTTGCGACAGAGATTAGCGAACACTTGGGTCAGAGAATCACCTATAAGCTTGTGTAGATGTAGGCTGTAGGAGGGTGAACAAAGTTTGATGACATTCAAAATTAAATCAGAATGTTAACTTCAACCATAACTGTTTTATTAACTTTGACTGTTATCGCACTTACTGCTGTACCAAATTTAAGAAAACCTTTTTAAACCAGTTACTCAATAAAAGACAACAGAGAAGTAGCAAAATTGCAGCTTGGAAAAACACAATCTATCGCCAAAACTATGAGATGGAAAACAGGGCAGCTAACTGTATTGACGAGTAAACAGCCAAAGAAATCCATATTCTTCAAAAACTTAAAGTCTAAGATTTCTAAATAACTGCACCGAATGCAAACCTACTTACCTGAGATAAGTTCGAAATTCCGAGCAAGAAGCAAATCGAGTCCAGTATGTTCGACTTGCCGCTGCCGTTCAACCCAGTGATCGCATTAAACTGCGGATCAAATCCAGAAACAGTAGTTCGTGTAGCATATGACTTGAAGCCATCAATAACTACCTGTTTGATGTACATTTTCAAACAGAAAAGATCTCAAAAGAAAAACATCAACCGGTTTATCGAAGCTCGACGCTTGGTCGCTCGTTCTTGCCGCCAAAACCTTCCCATAAGGCATTGCTGTCAGTGGATTTGTTTTAGTGCCCAGCCTACTCGAACGAGTCCAACACAGCCAGCCCACCTGGAAACATTGATCACAGGAGCCGGAAACATAAAATTGCTCTCAGAACACAATTTTCGCAGTTTTCCATATTTATTTTCAGTGGCTAATCTAGGGGAGGGGCCCGGGCCCCCCTTATTTTGAGTTGAAAAAAATTCGCAAAGGAAGAAAAGCCGGCAGGGCAAACAAGCCCACCTTCCCCTCCCCCCTTAGCTCAAGGTCTGGATCCATCACTGATTTTAACCACGATCAACGTTTCTCATCAAGAAAATGTTAGCCCCCAAGCTGACATTTTAGACACGGTAATAAAGTTTATTATTATTATTGTTATTATTAATGACAGTCCCCAGGATTCAGGAGGGGATCCTGGAAATTTTGAGAGGGGTGGGTAAACTGGGTTCAAAGTAACCAAGAAAGCTTCTGCTGTAAGGGTATGAAATGTTTTGTGAATCTACACTTTTATGACGTAAATATCTCAAAGTTTGATTTTATTTGATATTTCATGACACACATGAGCATTCAATTTTTTCCTTATAACTTTTTGACACCAATTTTTAAAAAATTAATCATTTTTGTGATATTTTTAGATTTCAATTTTGCTGGATGCCATAAAAATTAGTTTCTCAGTGATAAATCAATCAAATGGAAAGGAATTACCAAAAGAACACTACTCCTTAACCGACCTGGGATCAGTTAACAACAATAACCAAGCAGATAACAGGATACTCTCAATTTGACTTCACTTTTTAATAACCTTCTTCAGACATGATTTCATCCACATGGATTTGTATCTGGAAATATTATATTAAACACTGACCTAAATATATGTATAATTATATGAATCTGCCATTCCCATAAATACATTTTGCTTCCTCCACCATACAAATTATGACAAATAAGTTACAACTAAATTGGTTGATTAGCATAAATGTATAGCATAATTAGCACTCAAGCTGGGGCTTCAGGAATAATAATTAATGTTAACATAATTAAGTTGACTCATAATCATCTTAGGCATAAATCAGAACAGTGTGAGACAAAGACACTCTTAGCAATGGCTAATGACAGAGTGCATACAATTTTAAATTAACAGTTCATGTCAATATTCTATGGCGTAGTGATCACTATATAACAAGCCTGAAGTCAATTTTGTCAAAAAGCCACCACAAAATGCTACAGTGGAATGCTGCCTTTACTGCCACCCCATTAATACAGCCACATTATTATGGCCACTTTATACTAGCCCAAACAAAAGCTCAGTCAGTCATTTCCTTATTACTGTGAAAAACCCATTTAATACAGACACCCTATTAATACCGCCAGACTTTAGTGGCCTGTTGGTGACCAGATTTACGGGTTCCACTGTACTCGCTTAATAAGTTAGTAACAGACAGTGACTTAAATCAACAGCTCACCTCGTGCTTTTGGCCGAGGCTCAATCATACTGCACTCAAAAACCAATAAATAAGGGCAGTTAATTTACATTTTACTAATATCCCAGCACCATGTACTAAACCAGTGAATTAGAACTGCCATTATTCAGATATGAGCTTGGTATGCTACCAGCTCAATTTCAACATCAAAAAATCCAGGGCTCAAAAAAAGCAATGTCTTTGTCCAGGAGAAGTAGATTCTCCTGCCAGGCAAGTTACTTTTCATTCTCACTTGCCCAAAGGGCAAAGGCCCCCCAAACAGCAAAGGCCCAGGCAAGTTATCTGCCAACTAAATCACAATAAAAGTAATTAACTAAGATTTGCCCATGGCAAGCAAGATTTGAGAGCTGCTGGGCAACCTGAAATTCAAGTTTTTTTTTTCAGCCCTGGAGATTCTGGTCAACAACAACTGAGAGATTTACAAGCTTATACACCTTATAAACTGTAATTAAATACATGACCACCGGTAGTCATTTCATAACCTTCAGGGATAGTCAAATTGTCCAGCTTGGCTTGGATTTCCCTGAAATGTTCCAGAAATCCTCTTACAGCATCCCTTGTCAAATCTACTTCACAACTTAGTTGGAGAGCTTAACGTTTCACTCCATAAATTCAATGAACAGAAAGACTGGAATTAGTCACTCAAGAGTAATAATTATTGATAACACTTTTCTGAACATATGTTCACATATTACAACTAATGTTAGGTTGAATAAATGTGAATAATATTGTAATAGTCCAAAACAGTTTTTTGCCACAAAAATTGGTCAAAATTAAGCTGACCACAAAAATAAATTATTTCATAGTGGGTAAATTTAACTTGAAAAGCACATACATGCATTTTCAATCCCACAAATTCACTAATACAACTAATATTTATACTTATAACTTAAATTTGACGTCTTAGGTGGATGATTAAATAGTGTAATTAAACTGCATATTTAATATGATGACAGCATGGGAAAATACAAAGTTTAAAGCTATTGTCTTTCTGATTGCACCTGTAGTTAGTGAAATTAAGTTCCAAACTTTGAAACTAAAGATGAGCTACAAATTGTCCTAGTTTTCTTTTCGTTTCCTTTTTTTCCTGAATTTTTGCTGAGAATTTTCTTGAGGACTATGAATTTTTTTTAACCAAGGAATTAATTTTCTTCCTCAGAAACTCAAATGCGTCATTGTCATACAAAAAAAAGAGCTGAAAGAAGTCAACAATGGTGTAAACTTTGCTGCCTGTCAATTGAAATAGACATCAAGCTTGAGGTCCAGATAACTGCTAAATTTTCAATGCATTTCAAATATTACTTTTTTCCCAACAGCAATTGATAAATAAGTGTTGGGCAACTGAACACAACTAAGAGTCTGTAATAGAGAACTTGGTTACATTGAACCCTTCATACTAAACAAGCAAATTTTCCCAATAACCTCCACATATTTGTTACTATTAGTTAGGGAGAATTTGACGACCAACTTAGTAAACCCTTTGGGCTCTGATGAATCGACATACAAAATCTCCTTGCTTGTCTTTATACATTTCTCATAGCATTGGTTGGGAGAATCTCTTAAAATATCACTGAAAACAGTGATATTCTCATAACATTTTCTTAATGTTTAAGCATCAATATTTTAAGGAGAAATTTGATGCAGATCAATCTTGGGGCTCAAAGGTCTAAACTACTCAACTTACTGCTTCTCAATTGATTTCAGTATGTCTTGATTTCAAACTCAGCTTTGATCCCTCACCAACCAAAAGAAACATCAACTTTGCAGTAAAGGGTATTAATATTTTAAAGTATTGTAAGTAAAGACAAATGTATTATTCAACAAACAACATAATACAGAGGAATCCAGATTTCTTGAACCATAGCCTTCCTAAACCTCCTGATAACTCAGACCAAAAATTTTTCCCCTTGAATTTTGTTTCACTGTACTTTATTTAACTCCAATATCTAAAACTCAGAATTTCTCAAATTAGCTTTAATTTCCTCTCAAGGTTTGAGAAATAGGAATTCCACCATAAACATTTTATAGATCTGCAACAGATACAGAGCAGGGAACATTGCAAATTTTTATACTGCAGGTTTAAAATCCAACAACGTAAGTCCTAGTTGACAAATTTGACGATAATTATTCTAAAACAATCAGCAAGCACAAGAGCTATCCTGTTGCTGTGGTGGTTTATCAGATAATTTTGTCGTCCCTGGCTTCTGTCCGCTAACAATAGTTGGGTCAGAATCCAAGCTCTCTGACATCTTGTCGCAGATGATATCGACCAATCGCTCAAACACTTGCTTCACATTGACATTGTCCTTGGCACTGGTTTCAAAGAATTCAAGACCAAGTTGGTCAGCCAGCTGCTTCCCTCTTTCGTAAGTCACCACCCTGTCTTCCTCCATGTCGCATTTGTTACCCACAAGTATCACCTGTGCATTGGACCAGGAGTATGTCTTCACCTGTGTTGACCTGTGATTAAATATTAGATATTGTTAAAAACTGGATCACTGGATAATGCAATTGAAGAGTTTTCATTGGCTTCTCATTCATTATTCCATGCTTTACAAATAATTTATGGTTTAAGCATACCCATAATTTTTTGGTTCATTTCTATTTTAATTTAATTTTAGTTTTCTATATTTCAGGGCCATACTCATGCTTGTTGGTTATGAGATGATCAGAGCTAACTCGGTGATACGTGCCTCGTTGGCTATCTACCATCTTGTATGTTACGCGCACTCGTGGAATAATAATTATTGGTAATTGCACATCAAGAAAATTACACAACAGGAGTCTCACCACGTGATTTAAAGGAAGTCCTTTAGTAAGGATTTGAGTGAGCCCTTATGCAGTAATGCAATTTTATCAAAAAGAGCAGTTCTAGAAAATATCCCTTCCAAGCCGGTGAGAGATCACTGGTATTCTGAGGGGGNTCGTGTAGCATATGACTTGAAGCCATCAATAACTACCTGTTTGATGTACATTTTCAAACAGAAAAGATCTTAACAGAAAAACATCGACCGGTTTGTCGAAGTTCGACGCTTGGTCGCTCGTTCTTGGCGCCAAAACCTTCCCAGAAGGCTCTGCTGTCAGTGGATTTTTTCTTTTTAGTGCCCAGCCTACTCGCACGAAATTCAACACAGCCAACCCAAGTGACGATAAAATTTCTCGCAGAAATAAATTTCTCAGTTTTCCACATTTATTTTAACCACATTACACATTAATCGCAAAGTTTCTCGTGCAGAAAATGTTAGCCCTCAAGCTGAACGACAGTTAAACAACATAACATCCATAGCAACCTGAGCTCGATCAGGAGGGATCCTGGAAATTTTGAGAGGGGTGGGTAAAGTCGATTTAAAATTAACCAAATATTCTGCTGATGGTATTAATTCTTTTTCTTCCGAATCTACACTTTAAAGGCGTTAATTTCTCAAAAAGTCTGATTCCATTAATTTTGAGTTTTCAGGACACATACAAGCATTCAATTTTGACTCATAACTTTTTGATGGCAATTTCTAAAGATCATTTTTAGATTTTTAGATTTCAAAATTTGATGCTGGAAAAATCTAGTTTCTCAGTGATAAATTAATCAAATGGAAAGGAATTACCAACTGCTCCTTAACCGCAAGCAAATAAACAATTATTACTGGATGGGGTTTTTGTGATATCCAGAATAATCAAGGTCAAGGTAGGGGTTATCAACTGAAGCCAAAGGCTGAGGCTGATAACCCTTTCCGAGGCCTTGATTATTCTGTATTTCACAAAAACCCAATCTAATAATTGTTTTATTATACATTGAACGGAAAAAAATGGAATTCATGTTTTAGCTTCTTCACTAACGGCAAGCAACACAAAAGCACGCAAACTTGACATGATTACCCTTAAAAATCATGCACCGCAGTCATACATGAAATGATCACCTGTGACTTTCAGTGTCCTTGACATGATTATTGTATAATCTACAGCTAGATAATGTCACAGGTGCTGATTTCGAAAATTCACTGTACGCTTTCAGCCAATCAGAAAAAGATGAGTTCAACGTATAATAATAACAATAATCAAGCAGATAACAGGATACTCTCAATTTGACTTCACTTTTTAATAACCTTCTTCAGACATGATTTCATCCACATGGATTTATATCTGGAAATATTACATTGAACACTGGCCTAAATATATATATGTACTTATATATGAATCCGCCATTCCCATAAATACATTTTGCTTCCTCCATCATACAAATTATGACAAATAAGTTACAACTAAATTGGTTGATTAGCATAATTAGCACTCAAGCTGGGGTAGTGTCACTGAAGCTTCAGTAATAATTTTTGTTAACATAATAATTAAGTTTAATCATAATTATCTTAGGCATAAATCAGAACAGTGTAAGACAAAGGCACTCTTAGCAATAGCTAATGACAGGGTGCATACAATTTGAAATTTACAGCTCACATCAACATTCTCTAGCGTAGAGGTCACTATATAACAAGCCTGAAGTCAATTCAGTTAAAAAGCCACCTAGAATGCTACAGTGGAACCCACCTTACCACCACCCCATTAACACACTTTATACTAGCCCAAACAAAACCTCAGTCAGTCATTTCCTTATTACTGTACAAAACCCCTTTCATACCGCCACCCCATTAATACCGCCAGACTTTTGTGGCCTGTTGGTGACCGGATTTACAGGGTTCCACCGTATTTGCTTAATAAGTTAGTAACAAACAGCGATTTAAATCAACAGCTCACCTTGTGCTATTGGCCAAGGCTCAATCATATTGCATACAAGAACCAATTATAAATAATGGCAGTTAATTTACATTTTACTAATATCCCAGCACCATGCACTAAACCAGTGAATTAGAACTGCCATTATTCAGATATGAGCTTGGCATGATACCAGCTCAATTTCTACATCAAAAGATGCAAGGCTCGAAAAAAGCGCCGTCCTTGTCCAGGACAGAAAGATTCTCCTGGCGGGCAAGTTACTTTTCATTCTCACTTGCCCAATGGGCAAAGGCCCAGGCAAGTCATCTGCCAACTAAATTGCAATAAAAACAAACTAAGACTTACCCAGGGCAAGCAAGATTGGAGAGTTGCTGATTTGAAGGGCAAGCTGGAATTCAAGTTTTTTTTCGAGCCCTGAAGATCCTGATTAACAACAACTGAAAGATTTACAAGCTTACACCTAATAAACTGTAATTAAATACATGACTAGTCATTTCATAACCCTCAGGGATAATCAAATTGTCCAGTTTGCTTTGGAGAGCTTTAAGTTTCACTCCATAAATTCAATGAACAGAGAGACTGGAATTAGTCACTCAAGAATAATAATTACTGATAACACTTTTCTGAACATATGTTTACAAGTTACAACTACTCTTAAGTTGAATAAATTTGAATAATATTGTAATCATCCAAAACACTTTTTTGCCACAGAAGTTGGTCAAAATTAAGTTGACCACAAAAATAAATTTTCATAGTGGGTAAATTTAACTTGAAAAGTGCATATTTTCAATCCCACAAATTCAATAATACAACTAATATTTATACTTATAACTTAAATTTGAAGTCTTAGGTGGATGATTAAATAGTGTAATTAACATGCATATTTAATACGATGACAGCATGGGAAAGTACAAAGTTTAAAGCTTATGTCTTTCTTATCGCAACTTAGTGAAATTAAGTTCCGAACTCTTAAACTAAAGATGAGCTACAAATTGTCCTAGTTTTCTTTTCATTTCCTTTCTTCCTGAATTTTGACTGAAATTTCCTTGAGGACTATTAATTGTTTTTAACCAAGGAATTGAGTTTCTTCCTCAGAAGATCAAGTGCTTCATTGTCATACAAAAACAAGAAGTGAAAGAAGTCAACAATGGTGTAAAATCTACTGGCTGTCAATTGAAATAGACATCATGCTTGAAGTCCAGATAACTGATAAATTTTCAATATGTTTCAAATATTACTTTTTTTTCCCACCAGCAATTGATAAATAAGTGTTGGGCAACTGGACACAACCAAGAGCCTGTAACAGAGAGCTTGGTTACACTGAATCCCTAAACAAGCAAATTCTCCCAATAACCTCCATATATTTGTTAGTATAAGTTAAGGAGAATTTGATGATCAACTAAGTAAACCCTTTGGGCTCTGATGAATCAACATACAAAATCTCCTTGCTTGTCTTTATACATCTCTCATAGCATTGGTTGGGAGAATCTCTTAAAATATCACTGAAAACAGTGATATTGTCATAACATTTTCTTTATGTTTAAGCATTAATATTTTAAGGAGAAATTTGATGCAGATCAATCTTGGGGCTCAAAGGTCTAAACTACTCAACTTACTGCTTCTCAGTTTATTTCAATATGCTTTGATTTCAAATTCAGCTTTGATCCCTCACCAACCAAAAGAAACATCAACCTTGCAGTAAAGGGTATTAACATTTTAAAGTATCGTAAGTAAAGACAAATGTATTATCCAACAAACAACATAATACAGAGGAATCCAGATTTCTTGAACCACAGCCTTCCTAAACCTCATGATAACTCAGACCAAAAATTTTTCCCCTTGAATTTTGTTTCACTGTACTTTATTTAAACCCAATATCTCAAACTCAGAATTTCTCAAATTAGTTTTAATTTCCTCTCAAGGTTTGAGAAATAGGAATTCCACCATAAACGTTCAATAGATCTGCAACAGATACAGAGCAGGGAACAGTGCAAATTTTTATACTGCAGGTTTAAAATCCAACAACATAAGTCCTAGTTGACAACATTGACAATAATTATTCTAAAACAATCAGCAAGCACAAGAACTATCCTGTTGCTGTGGTGGTTTATCAGATAATTTTGTCGTCCCTGGCTTCTGTCCGCTAACAATAGTTGGGTCAGAATCCAAGCTCTCTGACATCTTGTCGCAGATGATATCGACCAATCGCTCAAACACTTGCTTCACATTGACATTGTCCTTGGCACTGGTTTCAAAGAATTCAAGACCAAGTTGGTCAGCCAGCTGCTTTCCTCTTTCATAAGTCACCACCCTGTCTTCCTCCATGTCACATTTGTTACCTACAAGTATCACCTGAGCATTGGACCAGGAGTATGTCTTCACCTGTGTTGACCTGTGATTAAATATTAGATATTTTTAAAAACTGGATCATTGATCACTGGATAATGCAATTGAAGAGTTTTCATTGGCTTTTCATTCATTATTCCATGCTTTACAAATAATTTATGGTTTAAGCATACCCATAATTTTTTGGTTCATTTCTATTTTAATTTAATTTTAGTTTTCTATATTTCGGTGTCATCCTCGTGCTTTTTGGATATGAGATGATCAGAGCTAACTCTGTGCTATGTGCCTCATTGGCTATCTACCATCTTGTATTTTATGCGCACTCATGGAATAATAATTATAGTTAATTGCACATTAAGAAAATTATACAAGAACAGGAGTCTCACTATGTGATTTAAAGGAAGTCCTTTCGTAAGGATTTGAGTGAGCCTTATGCAGTAATGCAATTTTATCAAAAAGAGCAGTTCTAGAAAATCTCTATACCAAGCCAGTGAGAGATCACTGGTATTCTGAGGGGGCAGGGGTTGAAAACCCAAAGAGTTGTTTTAAAAACAACAGGAAGCTATGACAAGCTTGAAACCAGGATGTTAGATTATTCACTTTTCTGTTAAAACAAAAATTTTGTGAAACTGCCTTTCAAACCAAAAACAGATTCCATATTAAAACATGCCACTCCCTCCGCTATATGCATTCTACTTATAATACAATTTATGTCAATATTATTCATGCAGGTTTCAAAAGGTCAAGTACAAACATGCAAAGTAAATCTCTCTCATTTAGACATTCTGGTCTTTAAAACTAAGAAAAATATTCAAATACAAGTTTTCCATTTTCTAATTTCTCTTGCATTAGCCCTTTCTTTGAATACAGACGCACTTTGTTTTGTGATTTACAGTGCGATGCCTCTTTTACTGCACTTTTTTCTCTAAGTGTGCATCTCTTTACATTCTGTGGAATAAAAATTCACTGAATGAAAGTTCCCAGCCTCCCAATATCTTTTCAGCAAAGACCAGATTTTCACACATTGCAAACTTGGGTCACATGGAGAGATCTTGGTGTCCTGATATACAAAACGACAACCACAAACAGAACATGAACCAGGCTCCACTATAGGCCACCTTGTTGTTCTGTCATGTAGTAATAAAAAAGAAAAGATGAGGCTTAACTGAAATTTCCAGAAGGGCTGGAAAGTGGCAGCATTGAAGCAAATAAAGAGAAATTCCATAAGGCATATGCAAATTTTTTGGAACAAAATAATGATAACTATTTGAACAGAGATTCTTTTTGCAAAACTTATGTCAAATGGTGGCCGGGAAGATTAAGTGAAAGAGGATGCGTCAAGCCATTGTAATAAGTTAGCTACTGCTAACAAAATTATCAAAGATCTTGTCAACAAGACAAACTATTCACATAGCACTTTATTATGTAAACAGTAAGGCTTAGCAGCAGGAACTCTTTTCAAGTATTCAACCATGAAAACTAGACAATGCTGTCAAATACAGGGGGTCATAGTTTGTCTGCGATCCAACCGAAGGAAATAAATTGCGACAGCAACTTGCACAAATGTCTGCTTATATTTACACCATTATTTTGATCATTGTTAAGCTTAAATTCAAATTTAATTTCCATGTGGGTAAAACTTGATTTGAATATTAATCTCTGCTGAGCATGAACTAAAGGTTAAAAGAAATCCAATTACTACCAGATGCCTGGAAACTTTACTAGGGAGAAAAAACACTACAAAACAAAACCATTTTCAAATTTCCCGATCAAATATAAACCTATATAAATCTCTGATCTATTAACCTTGAAGTTTATAAAATATTTTTTTGTAATTGTTTACTTTTCTGCGGCCAAAATATACATATTTTTGCAAGAAAAGATGTGTAACATTAAATAAGGAAGTCTCGACGAGACAAATGCTAACTAGTCAGCTACGCGTGAAAATTCGAGTCAAATTATAATAAGATAATAGGCACACAATGTACATTTCGATGACATGCATAATATTGAACAGAATTTTCAAAAATGTACCATACCCAACACAACAAATGTTTACTCTAGTTTTTCCCTAGTATGTAGTTTCCCTGACTTCCCACATCGCAAAAGTTACGGAAATGAGAAATGAGGCTTACATTATACGGAGCTTTTCAAAATAACATTCTTCGAATAATTCCAATATTTCTGATGTTCTGCCGACGCTTTCGTTGCTCTGCTTGTGTTGTATTCGTCTTGCAAATGATCTATTTGAAAACGAAATGTTCTTCGATGACACCGGCATAACATCACTGGTTTTATTATATCGATATTAAGTGCACTCGTTTATAAAGATGTAAGTAAAGTGGCCGGGTATTCTGAAGTTGCTCCTTTCATACCTCACGACGACCTCTCTGTTGTTTGATTTGAGCGGAACTTGCGAAGAAAAAACAAGAGCTTAATGAAATGAATCGACAAACGAAATCGAAACATGAAATGTACTTCGAAAGTCAGGTCCACAAATTGGGATTTTTCGTCGTTGCTGTTGAGGAAACACATCGCTGCAAGAGGAGACATGACAGTTTAAATAAGATCACCGTCGATAAATACATTATAAAAATCCTCACCAATCTTGCACAGCCTGAAATGACTCTTCGTTCGTAATGTCATACATAAGAATAAATCCCATCGCTCCTCTGTAGTAAGCGGTTGTTATAGTCCGATATCTCTCCTGCCCGGCTGTAAAATAACATCAATGAGTCCAAAAATAATATAAAAAGAAGTTAAACCTGAGAAAAAAATAATAAAATTACCCGTGTCCCATATTTGCAGCTTGACCCGTTTCTCGTTCCGAAAAACCGTCTTCACTTTGAAATCGATTCCCACGGTGGAAACGAACGCCGAGGTGAATGAATCGTCGGCATAGCGAAAGAGAAACGACGTCTTTCCTACAGCAGAATTTCCAATGATCAAAAGCTTGAACATATAATCGAAATTCTGATCTGCCGCATCTTTCTGCCACTGTTTGTCGTTGGCGTTCGCCATGATCTTGAACTCTCGAACACTTTCCCACAACCGCACTACCGCGAGTCCCCGGATATCAGTATCGTTAACCCAATCAAAATCGTCCATAGATAATAGAATTTGCTAAGAACCAATCAGAAAGAGCGAAATTCACCTGTCTTCGAAAACCCGCGCATCCGCGCGAAATGGAGTGGGCGCTGTTTATGTATGTTTCCAGAATAATTTTCTTTTCCACTCGGGAAATATGTTTGAGAAAAAAATATTAAGGTTATTAAAGGGACACGGTACCAAATCTTAGCTTTTCGATCATAAAGGAAATGATCTTACAAAAGTTTGAGCGGAACAAACTGACAGATAATTTCTATTTCTTTTTCCGTGAACGACTAGTGCAAATATTTTCAGCAAATTTTGGGTTGATTTGATACGATCAAACAATAACGGCTCGGAAGTAATTTACATGTACTTCTCTTTGTTCTTATTCATTTCAACCGTGGACCAAAAATAGCAAGTAAACTTATTAAACCTGAGCGTCCTTTAGTCGCAATTTTCGCTGGACTAATCGTAATTGAACTTAAAAATTAAATCGAAATAGACGGGAAGACAACTTTATACCACAAAACTCCTGATGCGTTTGTGACGAGAAAATGAGGAGTTGCGGGGGAGGGGAGGAGGCGTTTCGAACTTGGGTTATTGCAGGAAGGAAGTGCGTTCAAAACTCAAGAGACCCTCGCAGGGGTTTTCGGGTTAAAGTAAAAAATTACGGGATATAGGATGTTTTGGTTAAACATTACCGTAAAAAACCGCTTGTAAGAACCTAGTGGTCTAATAACCTGCTGGCAGAAAGTTGCCATTTTAATTAATACCCAAAAATATAAAAACCTATTTAGCAAGGAAGATCAAGCAGGTTCTTGTATGCGCGTTACAGTTAACTTATGATAGACATTTTAACCAAGGAGTGTCACCAGGAGATTGCCAATTTATTTTACAAGAAAATACAGATGCGAATTAAGGATCACGCGCAAGTTTTTTTTTTTTTTTTTTTTTTTTTTTCCTCATAAATTGCCAGTAACTACCCCAAACTACAAGAATCTGTTCTGTCAAACTGCAAAGAAATGTAGGTTCTTATACGCGAGTTTTACTGTAATGGTATACTTAAAACAGACATCCCTTGATGTCCAGTAGGAAAAAGTTGCCCTGAAAAATTAACAAATGTACAGTTGTAAGCGTGGATGTTTGTTTCAGGTTAAAGTTACCAGGGTTACCAGGTTCGGAGCATACTCAACAGAAAGTGGTGATCTTGCCTTAGTTCTTAGGCCTTGATATTTCGCCTTGGTAAATCCGCTTCGGGTCAAAAGCGATGCTTGTCGTACAAATTACAATGCTAGAACTAAGGGAGCTCAGCTCGATACCCAGTCCCTCACTCTTCCCCGCCAGGAGCCCATTATGTCCCCAGTCGTCTCGCAGTATCGTATTGAATATTAACGCGGGATGTGCGACGTGGGAGCGCGGGGGATTATGGAAAGGAGAAAAAAGGCGTCTCTCTCTCTCTCTCCCTACGCATCAACCCAATCGACTCTCGCTCGTCCCAATCGACCCTCGCTCCCGTCGGAGACTCAGAGACTACTGCGGACGAGTCAGTCCCAGTCCCGAGATCCTGGCGAAAAGGCTATTTCTCGGTAATGTCGTGCCGAAATGTATCGACCGTGATGGTTTGGGACCAAAAGAACTTAGTAAGTGGTGATGGTGGTGGTAATGGTAATCATGGTGGTAGTGTTTTTGATGTTGCCTTTTGTGGGTGGGGGGAGGGGTAATGGTGATAGAAGCGGTGGTGTTGTTATTGGTGCCGTTGGTGGGTGAGGGAGGGAGTCTGTCTGCAGTCTCCCTATCGCGACAGCCACATGATATTCTGGATTTTGTCTATTGTTCAGGGTCACGCGATTAGCATATGACATTGACCAATCCGTAAACATTTGGATTTGAGTTTCATCTGAGTCATTACCCTACAGATGCATTTAGTAGACAATTGGACTTCAAGCTGGTTGTTCTATTATTTGCTGCTACACCGTGCTGACGAGACCCAACCAGGTAGAAACAGCTGTCCAACTTTGCAATTTTTGGCTTTCGGTTTGGACTCTATCACGGTCGCTGTCACGTTAAGTTGTCGACGTAGTAATCAGCCTCGTTTCATTGTTATATTTCTATTTTCGGCTGATCAGATGTTTTACAGATCCTACGTATACCAGTAGCATTTTCGTTTTCAGTCCCTTGCATCATTTGTATTCTGAGGGAGGGATGACGGTGACGGTGGTGGTAGTGTTTTTAATGGTGTCCTTGGTGGGTCAGGCAGGGATGCCGATAATGGTTGTGGTATAGGCAGTGTTGTTAGTGGTGCCTTTGGTGGGCGAGGGAGGTGTGATGGTGAAGATGATGGTAGTGTCAAGTGATGGTAGTGTTGTTAGAGATGCCATGGGTGGGTGGAGATGGGAGATGCTGGTGTGGTGGTAATTTCATGTACTGGTATCGTTGGTGGGTGAGGGAGGGGAATTGGTGATGAGGGTCATGTTGCAGCTCTCGTAAGGTCTCACATGAATGGCTTGAAACCCTTTGAGAAGACAATAGAACAAACAACAGAAACAATGAACAATAACAGCTGCTGAAATGACAACAAATAGAATTACAAGCTTACGAGAGCTGCCACGCTACCGGGGGGTCAGCTGATAATACTAATAGTGTTACTAGTGGTGCCATTTTTAGGTTGGGCCGTCTTGTTTTATTGTAACGTGCACCTGCTGGCCCTTAGCGCACCTTAAGAAACGGACCGTATTTCCGGGTAGAAAAAAAAATTATTTTCTGTTGGTTGTGTTTGATTCTCAGGTTAGTGACTTGTGTACTGTGTTAGTCTTTCGTTAGTAAATTGTGCATTGTTTGTTTTGGGCGTTGTTTGTTTTTCGTGTGATAATTTCGTTATTGAGTTGCGTACTTATATGCATTTTTAGTTTTCAACCTTTTCAAATCACCTATTCGCATGAGGTGTCGTTTTAAATTCTACATGTTATATGGTTTGTCCAAATTTGATCATTTTAAAGATCGAAGCTAAATTTAAGAAATCAGCAGAAATCATTATTACCTCTTAGAGTATCAAACGTAATTAGTAAAGGAGAGTCCTAAACAAAAATTTTGTTTTTTATAATTTGGCTATCTATATGCGAATTTATAAATTTGGTGCGAAAATTGAAGCCTAAGACATCAATTTCCCTGAAGCTTTATATCTCTTCCTCGCAAGGTCTGCGTAATTTGTGTTTGAACATTCAGTTCTATATTTGAGGAATTAATTTTTTACATGACTGTGATAATTAAAGTCCTACATGTATAGATTAACCATAATTATGAAATTCTAAATTAACAGCAAAGTGAAGTTCCTCTTTAAGGAACAAGAATTCATTTATCCTTTTCTTAAATTCATTTTCATTTTTGGTAAAACTGGTCGGAAATTGTGGTATAATTATATGTACGTAAGTGTAGCAAACTATCATATCCTTTATAAACTATTACATTTTTCTGACAACATCCAAATTATACGATATGTTAAACGTGTGAGATGTTCATAAAGCACTCTGGACCTTTAATCGAAAACTGCATCTTCCCTTTTTGTCTACCAACAGAATTCTACTCTTGAATGTCTCGTTACCACGGAAGTGAAAAAATCCTGAATGAATAAATATATTAACTAAATTTAACGTGAAGCCACAATCTGCAATATCCTGCTCAATGATTATATTAAGCCTTGTGCCAAAAGTTGTTTTCGGAGACCCACGCTGAAGGAAAGCANAAGGAAATAAATTGCGACAGCAACTTGCACAAATGTCTGCTTATATTTACACCATTATTTTGATCATTGTTAAGCTTAAATTCAAATTTAATTTCCATGTGGGTAAAACTTGATTTGAATATTAATCTCTGCTGAGCATGAACTAAAGGTTAAAAGAAATCCAATTACTACCAGATGCCTGGAAACTTTACTAGGGAGAAAAAACACTACAAAACAAAACCATTTTCAAATTTCCCGATCAAATATAAACCTATATAAATTGATCTCTGATCTATTAACCTTGAAGTTTATAAAATATTTTTTTGTAATTGTTTACTTTTCTGCGGCCAAAATATACATATTTTTGCAAGAAAAGATGTGTAACATTAAATAAGGAAGTCTCGACGAGACAAATGCTAACTAGTCAGCTACGCGTGAAAATTCGAGTCAAATTATAATAAGATAATAGGCACACAATGTACATTTCGATGACATGCATAATATTGAACAGAATTTTCAAAAATGTACCATACCCAACACAACGAATGTTTACTCTAGTTTTTCCCTAGTATGTAGTTTCCCTGACTTCCCACATCGCAAAAGTTACGGAAATGAGAAATGAGGCTTACATTATACGGAGCTTTTCAAAATAACATTCTTCGAATAATTCCAATATTTCTGATGTTCTGCCGACGCTTTCGTTGCTCTGCTTGTGTTGTATTCGTCTTGCAAATGATTTATTTGAAAACGAAATGTTCTTCGATGACACCGGCATAACATCACTGGTTTTATTATATCGATATTAAGTGCACTCGTTTATAAAGATGTAAGTAAAGTGGCCGGGTATTCTGAAGTTGCTCCTTTCATACCTCACGACGACCTCTCTGTTGTTTGATTTGAGCGGAACTTGCGAAGAAAAAACAAGAGCTTAATGAAATGAATCGACAAACGAAATCGAAACATGAAATGTACTTCGAAAGTCAGGTCCACAAATTGGGATTTTTCGTCGTTGCTGTTGAGGAAACACATCGCTGCAAGAGGAGACATGACAGTTTAAATAAGATCACCGTCGATAAATACATTATAAAAATCCTCACCAATCTTGCACAGCCTGAAATGACTCTTCGTTCGTAATGTCATACATAAGAATAAATCCCATCGCTCCTCTGTAGTAAGCGGTTGTTATAGTCCGATATCTCTCCTGCCCGGCTGTAAAATAACATCAATGAGTCCAAAAATAATATAAAAAGAAGTTAAACCTGAGAAAAAAATAATAAAATTACCCGTGTCCCATATTTGCAGCTTGACCCGTTTCTCGTTCCGAAAAACCGTCTTCACTTTGAAATCGATTCCCACGGTGGAAACGAACGCCGAGGTGAATGAATCGTCGGCATAGCGAAAGAGAAACGACGTCTTTCCTACAGCAGAATTTCCAATGATCAAAAGCTTGAACATATAATCGAAATTCTGATCTGCCGCATCTTTCTGCCACTGTTTGTCGTTGGCGTTCGCCATGATCTTGAACTCTCGAACACTTTCCCACAACCGCACTACCGCGAGTCCCCGGATATCAGTATCGTTAACCCAATCAAAATCGTCCATAGATAATAGAATTTGCTAAGAACCAATCAGAAAGAGCGAAATTCACCTGTCTTCGAAAACCCGCGCATCCGCGCGAAATGGAGTGGGCGCTGTTTATGTATGTTTCCAGAATAATTTTCTTTTCCACTCGGGAAATATGTTTGAGAAAAAAATATTAAGGTTATTAAAGGGACACGGTACCAAATCTTAGCTTTTCGATCATAAAGGAAATGATCTTACAAAAGTTTGAGCGGAACAAACTGACAGATAATTTCTATTTCTTTTTCCGTGAACGACTAGTGCAAATATTTTCAGCAAATTTTGGGTTGATTTGATACGATCAAACAATAACGGCTCGGAAGTAATTTACATGTACTTCTCTTTGTTCTTATTCATTTCAACCGTGGACCAAAAATAGCAAGTAAACTTATTAAACCTGAGCGTCCTTTAGTCGCAATTTTCGCTGGACTAATCGTAATTGAACTTAAAAATTAAATCGAAATAGACGGGAAGACAACTTTATACCACAAAACTCCTGATGCGTTTGTGACGAGAAAATGAGGAGTTGCGGGGGAGGGGAGGAGGCGTTTCGAACTTGGGTTATTGCAGGAAGGAAGTGCGTTCAAAACTCAAGAGACCCTCGCAGGGGTTTTCGGGTTAAAGTAAAAAATTACGGGATATAGGATGTTTTGGTTAAACATTACCGTAAAAAACCGCTTGTAAGAACCTAGTGGTCTAATAACCTGCTGGCAGAAAGTTGCCATTTTAATTAATACCCAAAAATATAAAAACCTATTTAGCAAGGAAGATCAAGCAGGTTCTTGTATGCGCGTTACAGTTAACTTATGATAGACATTTTAACCAAGGAGTGTCACCAGGAGATTGCCAATTTATTTTACAAGAAAATACAGATGCGAATTAAGGATCACGCGCAAGTTTTTTTTTTTTTTTTCTTTTTTTTTTCCTCATAAATTGCCAGTAACTACCCCAAACTACAAGAATCTGTTCTGTCAAACTGCAAAGAAATGTAGGTTCTTATACGCGAGTTTTACTGTAATGGTATACTTAAAACAGACATCCCTTGATGTCCAGTAGGAAAAAGTTGCCCTGAAAAATTAACAAATGTACAGTTGTAAGCGTGGATGTTTGTTTCAGGTTAAAGTTACCAGGGTTACCAGGTTCGGAGCATACTCAACAGAAAGTGGTGATCTTGCCTTAGTTCTTAGGCCTTGATATTTCGCCTTGGTAAATCCGCTTCGGGTCAAAAGCGATGCTTGTCGTACAAATTACAATGCTAGAACTAAGGGAGCTCAGCTCGATACCCAGTCCCTCACTCTTCCCCGCCAGGAGCCCATTATGTCCCCAGTCGTCTCGCAGTATCGTATTGAATATTAACGCGGGATGTGCGACGTGGGAGCGCGGGGGATTATGGAAAGGAGAAAAAAGGCGTCTCTCTCTCTCTCTCCCTACGCATCAACCCAATCGACTCTCGCTCGTCCCAATCGACCCTCGCTCCCGTCGGAGACTCAGAGACTACTGCGGACGAGTCAGTCCCAGTCCCGAGATCCTGGCGAAAAGGCTATTTCTCGGTAATGTCGTGCCGAAATGTATCGACCGTGATGGTTTGGGACCAAAAGAACTTAGTAAGTGGTGATGGTGGTGGTAATGGTAATCATGGTGGTAGTGTTTTTGATGTTGCCTTTTGTGGGTGGGGGGAGGGGTAATGGTGATAGAAGCGGTGGTGTTGTTATTGGTGCCGTTGGTGGGTGAGGGAGGGAGTCTGTCTGCAGTCTCCCTATCGCGACAGCCACATGATATTCTGGATTTTGTCTATTGTTCAGGGTCACGCGATTAGCATATGACATTGACCAATCCGTAAACATTTGGATTTGAGTTTCATCTGAGTCATTACCCTACAGATGCATTTAGTAGACAATTGGACTTCAAGCTGGTTGTTCTATTATTTGCTGCTACACCGTGCTGACGAGACCCAACCAGGTAGAAACAGCTGTCCAACTTTGCAATTTTTGGCTTTCGGTTTGGACTCTATCACGGTCGCTGTCACGTTAAGTTGTCGACGTAGTAATCAGCCTTGTTTCATTGTTATATTTCTATTTTCGGCTGATCAGACGTTTTACAGATCCTACGTATACCAGCAGCATTTTCGTTTTCAGTCCCTTGCATCATTTGTATTCTGAGGGAGGGATGACGGTGACGGTGGTGGTAGTGTTTTTAATGGTGTCCTTGGTGGGTCAGGCAGGGATGCCGATAATGGTTGTGGTATAGGCAGTGTTGTTAGTGGTGCCTTTGGTGGGCGAGGGAGGTGTGATGGTGAAGATGATGGTAGTGTCAAGTGATGGTAGTGTTGTTAGAGATGCCATGGGTGGGTGGAGATGGGAGATGCTGGTGTGGTGGTAATTTCATGTACTGGTATCGTTGGTGGGTGAGGGAGGGGAATTGGTGATGAGGGTCATGTTGCAGCTCTCGTAAGGTCTCACATGAATGGCTTGAAACCCTTTGAGAAGACAATAGAACAAACAACAGAAACAATGAACAATAACAGCTGCTGAAATGACAACAAATAGAATTACAAGCTTACGAGAGCTGCCACGCTACCGGGGGGTCAGCTGATAATACTAATAGTGTTACTAGTGGTGCCATTTTTAGGTTGGGCCGTCTTGTTTTATTGTAACGTGCACCTGCTGGCCCTTAGCGCACCTTAAGAAACGGACCGTATTTCCGGGTAGAAAAAAAAATTATTTTCTGTTGGTTGTGTTTGATTCTCAGGTTAGTGACTTGTGTACTGTGTTAGTCTTTCGTTAGTAAATTGTGCATTGTTTGTTTTGGGCGTTGTTTGTTTTTCGTGTGATAATTTCGTTATTGAGTTGCGTACTTATATGCATTTTTAGTTTTCAACCTTTTCAAATCACCTATTCGCATGAGGTGTCGTTTTAAATTCTACATGTTATATGGTTTGTCCAAATTTGATCATTTTAAAGATCGAAGCTAAATTTAAGAAATCAGCAGAAATCATTATTACCTCTTAGAGTATCAAACGTAATTAGTAAAGGAGAGTCCTAAACAAAAATTTTGTTTTTTATAATTTGGCTATCTATATGCGAATTTATAAATTTGGTGCGAAAATTGAAGCCTAAGACATCAATTTCCCTGAAGCTTTATATCTCTTCCTCGCAAGGTCTGCGTAATTTGTGTTTGAACATTCAGTTCTATATTTGAGGAATTAATTTTTTACATGACTGTGATAATTAAAGTCCTACATGTATAGATTAACCATAATTATGAAATTCTAAATTAACAGCAAAGTGAAGTTCCTCTTTAAGGAACAAGAATTCATTTATCCTTTTCTTAAATTCATTTTCATTTTTGGTAAAACTGGTCGGAAATTGTGGTATAATTATATGTACGTAAGTGTAGCAAACTATCATATCCTTTATAAACTATTACATTTTTCTGACAACATCCAAATTATACGATATGTTAAACGTGTGAGATGTTCATAAAGCACTCTGGACCTTTAATCGAAAACTGCATCTTCCCTTTTTGTCTACCAACAGAATTCTACTCTTGAATGTCTCGTTACCACGGAAGTGAAAAAATCCTGAATGAATAAATATATTAACTAAATTTAACGTGAAGCCACAATCTGCAATATCCTGCTCAATGATTATATTAAGCCTTGTGCCAAAAGTTGTTTTCGGAGACCCACGCTGAAGGAAAGCAAACTGTCAAACGTTGGACAAAAGGCTTATCAAGAATTCTTTCACAAATGTCATAAATTCGCGTCATACAATCTCTCTTCCCAATGTGATGAATTTCAGTTCCACTGTACTTCGTTGACAACGAAAAAGGTAAAATTGAATGAAAAATATCTGCTGTAAAACTAATCGAGCGCAAAAATACTTTAAACTGACAATTTAAATACGTATATTTATCACCTGCGAGGTATTTACGATATCTGTTTTTCTACAATACCTAACTATAGAGTTGATCGAAAAGACCTCTGAAGCGTTTTATACGTAAATCTGTTTTCCTAGCCTGTATGGCGTATTTAAAGTAAACAATAGACAATTCTACTTCGGTCGTTTCTCCTTTAAACTAACTCAAGAATTTAACCCCAGATATTAACTTGTATTTTTTTCTTACCTTGCAAATATAGAACACGCACGCTAGGGTAGTTCTTACCAGTTTCGGCGTTTACTTCATTAAATTAACACTTACTGTTGTTTATTGATCAAATTCTGAAAATTGCTATTATTTAAGACGTGGAAGTGAATTCATTGCGCTAGATATTATCTCGCTGCCAGCGCAAACAGTTGCAATATCCACGACTATCTTCCGCTGGCGAGCAAATAAACCTCCACGCTAGGAAAATAATGTTTTCTTCTCGTTATGAACCGAGTCAAAGTGATCAGATCAACTTGGTCCCCCAATAACTGGACTAACAGAACAGTAAGTGAACTGTAAGTGTTGGCCCATGTCATGAATATAATAACTTCATTTTCGATCAAAGCAGTCACTGGGGAACTTTAGATAGGCATTCAAGCATGAGGAGTGAAACTTTTTTCGTTTCATTAATGTTCCCAAAGTTCTCACTCGATCTCTTTTGTTGTTGATCATTTGGATAACAGATTAGGTACGAAATTGATGTGAGATGTGATGCATGATCGAGAGCATAAAGCAGTGTTCTGTTGAGTGTCGAAAAGTAATATTGATTTTCAAATATCAACTGCGCTGCACGATTGGCTTAAAAAATTCGCGCCACCATTTCATCCAATCAAAAGTAAAACCAAAACTAATCATGACTTGCTTGCACACGTTTTCCCGCGCTTTGCATCAGCTACTTCGAGTTTTGATTGGTTCACTGTATTGTCTGTGTTCTTTATGATTGACTAGCAAGTAATCACTTTGGTTTTGGTTTTGGTTTTGCGACACTCAATTGAAAACTGCTCTAATCACTCTAATCACAAAGTTTGGAATACGTCAGGTTTTGGCTCGAGATTTAGGTCATTCAAGGTCGGTCAGTCTTAGTGTTCGCACACTTTTTTATTATTATTTTTTTTACGATTATGTTTCTGTTTAAACAATTTCTATAACTAATTGTAGAAAATGTTTTCCTCGAGGTCTCATGCCGCTGCATTAGATAAGGAATACGTTTCCACATATTTTTTGTCACATCTGACATACTAGTTAAAGGGTTTCGTATGTGGCGTAGCACAGGTTCTAATTCTTGGAATCAATGGTTGCAATATGTGACAGTGATGGTGACGTGAGGATGCGGAAGTATACATTTGTATCACATGACTGACTGACCCATCCTCAAAAATCTTCTCACATTGAATGTCTCCTGTGAGTGTGTTCAGAACTGTGGATATATGCTCATGTACAATTTAAATGTTGTTTCTGTCCGAGTGATTCCTTCTATACCACTTTGATCTGTGATAAGAGAATGCTGATTATGAGATAACTGAGTTACGGATAAATGATACACCCCCCGGCTCTCTAAATCAGTATCCTAGGCAAGACCAAAAGTTTCTAGTTTGATACCCTTGGGAAAGCTTTTTTTAATAGTAAATACAGTGGGAAAGTATTCCTCTAAACACTAATCGATGACTCTATCAATCTATCTATCTGTTGAGTGTAAAACTTGGTATTCATGGTTCATTGTCTTCCCTGACAGGAGCCTCTTAAAAAGGACCACGATTTCAAATGCATAGCATGGATATAGTGCTAGGAGGGCCCAGAAGCGCTATGGTGTCATTGAATCTGTGCATTCTTTGCACGTATTAAGGACGGTGCCTACTTTTGTTAGTGCGCACACGTTCTGCGTATCACGCAAGGCATGGTTTAAGCGCCACGCGCGCGCTGGGTTGACATGACGCAATCAACTACGCTACCAAGTACACGACTAAATTGAAAGCAAAATTT